CTTAATCCCATTAAATCTGAGTTCATCATAAGAATGTGAACAGCTCTCTGTAGCTTTAACCACTTGACCTGTTCGCCCACAGTGCTGGGGATAACAGACGACTCTCTAATTAGATATAAGAGCATCCCTCTCCTTGGAGCCGGGTTGTTCTTGGAGCCTGTGAGCAAAGCATGTTGCTATGGTGCACAGGTCACATGTGCAGCACAATAACATGAACATATTGTTTGAGTGTGACACTAAAACATGTACTGCACGTTTCACACAGCTTCCGTGTCTTTGTTTGTGTTGACGTCAGCTGTTTTTGGTCAACATCTCACACCTGACGGAGAAAGCTCACTCAACTGCTGTTATGGACTGTCCACAGACGGGGTGAATGTCATTCAAAGGTCAAAGGGCATTCTCTCAAAGAATCTATTTTTCAGGTGGCTGGTCCCTCATCTTCAGTGGAATGGACCACATGTATGAGACGTCCACTGAATTGCAGGCACTAAGAGCCTGAAGGGGACGGACTGTTGGCACGCGAAGTGAATCTTTAGGAAGCACAGCTCTTGGGAAGTCTCATTAGACGTTTAGGGGCGCCCTGTTTTTCCCCTCTACGGACAGCTGGACAGCTAAATTGTTTGTGGATCAATAGTTTAGCTTCCTACCGGCTCCACGGAGTGAGTGAAGTGCATTTAAACTCAAGAAATCCCATTATGCTTGGCAGAGATGGGAAGCATAGCACTAGGGGCCTCAGTAAGTACTGTTGCAATGCCCATTATTCAATCAACCTGTTTGTTTATCAGCAGCACTCCCGCTGAGGCCACTCAGTCAGATTATAGGTTTGCCTTTTCACTTTCCGTTCCACAGTACACACTGTGGCCTACATAGAACTTTTCTATCGGATATTTTTTTGGAACTTGTATTGAAACGATTTGTGTATTGGGATGCGTTTGTAATTATTATCACAATTTCAGTGTAATGAGTGAATCCCTTTACATTTTGATTGCTCATTATGCCGCTCCATATAAACCATATTGGAGGTGATGATGTAATGTGGTCCTCAACTCGTGGTTCAATGGTGGCAATATGAAGAAAAAAGTCGACTAGTCCTTGAGTGGTTTTGCAGCTTTGATTTGATTTGATTAACCTTGTTGTCAGGTCTGTAGAGTGACTGAGACTGTACTCTCTACTGAGTATAAAATACATCTTTAGATTATTATATAAGAATTATACATAATTAAATCATACTTAATAACTTTTAGTCAGGTAAGAAGTAAAGAAGCCTCTAGCAATTACTGCCACAAAGTATGTATTATCATTCATGCATATATGCACAGTATCTGTGCTATATATATATATGTGTATATGTATATACGGTATGTATATATGTATAGATGTATATGTATATATGTATGTGTATATATATTCTAATTAAATGAATGTAATTACTCAACACCAGAAGAATTCTTTTTCTGAGAACACAAACTCACACACTGAAGAACAGGTATCATACATGAATATAAACACACCGAACCTCTGGCTCCAACAATATCCCAGAAGTCATTGTTGAGTAAACAGCTGGTCTTTCCTACCCCAGCTCATCAGTGAGTGCTAATACCTCCTCACACACCTTTACATCATTTCTTTGTGTCGGCCATTTCCTGGAAACTGCATTTCCCTAAGAGATCTTCACTAATGGATCACTTAAAAGTTGCAGTAGGTTTCCCCCAGAGACTAGGTGTTTGTCTTGCTTATTATAAAGGGAAACCAATGCTGGCCGAGAATGGCTGATGTTTTTTTCAGAATAGCATTTTGGCTTAAAAACTAGCCAACAGGCTAGAAAGCATGAAAGGAGGATAGGGATATTAGGAGGAACAGGCAAGGACAAAACATTTGGAGCTCTCCCCTCATTCCTCAGGTCGGTGTAACCAGAAATAAAGGGTGTAGCTGGTGCAGCCTTTGAGCCGTGGGCTGCGGCTGTACCCTCTCTGCTCCGTGGCTTTGCTGCCAGTGTGTCTGCATTTCGCAGCTCTGCCCCCCAACCTTCGGCTGTATCTGTACGTGAAAAGCCCATTGAGTTGGGCACCATTAGCATTCGCTGAGGCAGAGTCCTACAAACAGGTTGATTTTTTTTTTCCTTTTTTTTTCCTTCCCCTTTTGCTCACTAACAATCCTGTCTCCACTGAGTCGTCTGAAATGGGTCAGAGTTGTCTATGGTTGGTTAGTGAATAGATGTGCTTTGAAGATGTCAGTGACCCATGGTGCGGTCTTCTTCATTCTAATTAGTGTTCTTTGTCTGTCTGTGTAAGGCCTCAATCGGCCAACAGATAACGTCACTCTAGCAATGTTTTTGAATGGTGGCGCATCTGGCTAACGAATTTTATGGGATGATGAACCAGCCTTCATTTTCATTATTACCTTGAGGCAAGCTACCTTATATTCTGCAAACAATAAAAGGTTTATTAACATGTATACGGGTGGTCCTCAACTTACATCGGAGTTAGATGATGACAATATAGTTTCACTGTTCAGCAGATAAGTCTGAGAGAATTTGTAGCTATTTATAATTGATTTATTTATAATTTGGTTTATTTTAATGCTATATAAATTTTGTTTTTGAATTTCATCAGTATATAATTGCCAGGAGAGAATGAAAAATGAAAGCTAGGTGCTGAAATAGTATTTTCATTCTTTTACTCTTTAAAATACATGATTCAAATACACAACAATATTTTTCAGCAAATGAAATGGCGTTGAAAAAAAAAGAAGATCAGAGCCAAGATAGTGCACTTAAAATTCCCTTCAGTGTCTGTGCTGAGGGAGAGTCCAACATTAAATCTTTGCACAAATTAACATTTCCCTCACATACTTCTGGAGAGAAATATTAACCCTGCGTGCATAGTAATGAATGTTCAGCCGCAGCATTGGACAGCCTTCATACTGTATGTGTTGGCCTACTGGTTAAATGTGTCAGTAGTGCAGCAGCCGGGTTCACTGGTTGGATAATTAATGAGTACGGTTTAATGGCAGGGAGTGGAGGG